TTGAATGCTTCATCCTCTTATTTGTCCTTCTTTTCTGTCTTTGTATGTTGTTATCGGGAGATAGCCGGTCATATCCCCGATAACTTAATACAAAGACAGAAATGAAGGAAAAATAAGAGGATGACGCATTCAAAGTTGTGCAATCTGTATGCGTCATTCTTTTATTTTTGCCTTTTTTGCCTTTCTATTGTTGCTTTCTTGCACACGCACTACTCCTACTTTACCTGTCACTCTCTTGAACCGGCACGGAAAGCATAGGCTACAGGCAAAAAAACAGACCGAGTGTCAGATTTTCTAAGTCTGTCGGTCTGTGGTTTTCCACCTTCCAGGCAAAAGAGATAATTCCGGTCTAAAACAAATGCGTTTCCTTCAGAAAACGCATCAAGACAAGCTTTTTTAAATCAAAAAGTCGTGTGTTTTTCGAGATTTGACGTGTGAAAAATCACATGAAAATGGATGAAACAATTTCCGACTGGAATAAATGTAACTTTCATGGAATGAGATAATGACTTAACCGGAATTGTTCTTTTTAGCTTTACTCTTCGTCTCTCTTCTTTTGATCGAAAACATTGCAATTGTCGGTTTTTGTTTCAGATGTTAAAATTAGAAGATTTATCAGCTGAAATTCTCTTAATTATCATCAATCACTTGAAATCCGATGAGCTAACTGAACTGACACAATTAAATTCAAAATTAACTTCCGTCATCAGTTCAGTACCAGTCTACGTCAACTTTGAGAATATTTCAAAGGAAGAATACGAAAACTATGAGAAAATCATTCTACGATTTCAAGAAGAAGAAATACCAATTCGCTCATTAAAATTATCAAATAAGAACAATATACGTCTGATAAACGAATTTCTCAACAGATTCGATAGTTTGTCGCAATCGCCGTCGTTCGCAAATCTTCAGTCGATTACTCTGATTGACATGCGCGAGAAAGAGTGTAGTACAATTCTTTTAAAATTGGTCAAATTGAAACAATTAAAGCGGTTTTCTTTACTGAATTCCTTCACAGAAGATGAAGGCGGTATTGTACATAATGGTAGTGAAGTACGGCAGTATGAAACTTATAATAAACCATTGTGGGCATTTAAAACGGTGGAAGTTGTACAAGTACCAAGTGTTAGATTAGTTTTCAGGGAAGAAGAAGATAAACCACTAGCAAGTACTCGAGGAAAAAGCGGTAAGTTAAGAGAATTCTGATTTTTTCCAAGACAGACAGAGTGAATGGGAAATACGGAACTGACCTGACGTTTTGTACCAATAAAAAGCCTAAAATTAGAAACGATTGGCCTATTTGAAATTAGCATCGATTTTGTCGCCAACCGATGTGTCATACTTGATCATTCGATGAAAAAAGAGTTTTTAGGGTCCCTATGCTACCTCCACTGCACGAGAACTACGATAAGTGATGCTCAAGATACGTCTGAGTTTTTTCTCTAAATAGTCTCATTCTCTAAAGGTCCTTAGAACACCTAGAAATCCAAATTTTTAGCATCACCAAATTTCTAGTTACTGAATTCTAAGGGATTCTTTGAAGGCATCTCGAAGAAAATTCAAGAGCAAAAGAAACTCGTTCAAGAAATTAAAAGTTCTGTACCTCCGTTGATAGATATGGTGTGAACCTGATTTTTTTCAGCGTTGACAGTACACTGTCCTAGCTATACACTGATAAACTTAGAAGCCGGTTATCTCAGATTTTCAGTCCTAAAACTCGATTTTTACTTCGAACCTTGCCTGCTCTACTTCTGAGATGGTTTTCTCTCAAGTTTGTATCTGGAATGGTGACAAACTGCAATGATTAGGTGCTGTCGAAGACGGATTATCAGGAGGACTCTTTAAAAGTTTGGTTTGTCTAAGAATTACTGGAAAAGCGCACGGTTTTCTAGAAAATCCTTCAAATTCTCAAAAACATTTTCAAAAATTTTCAACTTACGTAGCCAGAAAAAGCTAAAATTCGGGGCAAAATCATGTATGATTCGATTTTTCGTGTCTCATAGCCGAGCAGAAAATACGCAAGTAAAAAAAAGTCTTTTTACGCTAGGATTTTGTCTTGAAAATTGCATTTATTATAACTTTGTGCGGTTTACCTGAAAGAAGTTGAAAAACCTTAAACTTCAGTCCTCTGAGGTGTTGCAATGTCACTGTCAATTCCCACAAAATCTCATTAAGACAGCCCATGAGGTTTTTTTCCGATAAAATATCGCGATTAGAGGCGATATTTTATATCTTATATCTCGATAGGTTTTAACTCTATCGAGACGCCACGTTAAACCGCTATAAAAAAAAATTTCGCGATATATCATGCGGAATGAAGTTATCGATTTCTGTCACCGATGAAATTTTTATCGAAATAAAGATCTCTATTATTGCGATAAAACATCTTATCGAGATAATAATCTATCGGGATGGAAAGGGAAACCTTAATATCGCGCGATATGTCATAACAAAGTTCCGTGTGGCGGTCTAACGGCGTCTCAATAAGTTTAATCCCCGTTGAGATATAAAAACTGTCGAGGACTATGACGATTACTAATTTTATCGCTATACAGTCCCATACCGTTGTCATGCTGCAATGTATCCTCCGTAATAGAAAATTTTATCGCTGTTTTACAAGACGCAATGTTGTGTAAGTCGTCGTTGAAGAAACAAAATATATCTGAAAGTAAGCAATAAACAAAAGTAACACTGTAAACAAAGAAAGTAAACAGGATATATCACCCTGGCAGAAAGTGAAGAAATAGGCTTCTAACATTCAGATATACATCTATCTCAGGTATATGTCTATTGACATTTGCTTCACATTTGTCACGTTTTCTTTCTCTACAGAAGAAAAAGAGAAAAGAGAACAGTTAAAGTCTCGCATTATTGTGCTTCCATTAACAAAATGGCGGAACAGAAAGAAAAAGAAAATAAGTTTAGCCTGAATAAACACATAGGAAAGTATCCTAAAAGTGTAAACATAACGTGTTCAACTTGATGAACTCGAAATGCATTGGATACTTTTCAAATAGTGGTACCGCAGATATTTCTTTAAAATTTTGGTTTATATTTTGACTATCCAATAAGTGAAGACTGTTTTTATTAACATAGTTATAGCAAATAAGAAAAGAAATTGTTTATTTTCAAATATCAAGAAACAAATTAAACCGAATATTAGCTAAATAAGCTGCACATAGACTGACATCATTCCACAAAGCATGTTCGTGGAGAAATACAGCATGTACAGCTTGGAACACTTTTATTTCTCGTGTAAGGTGTTCACCAAAAATTCTTTTCCTAGACAAATAATAATTGAATAACTCTTCATATACTGGTGGCAATTGTCTTAACTCGTTTCTTCTTACCGGAGTCCGTAAAATACCACCATTTGCGAATCCTTTATCTGCCAAGATTTTTGTGTGAGGTGGTATGTTTCCAGTTCCAGCATTTGCTAACATTCGACTGTCGTGAACTGATTCCAGAAATCCTGATTTAAAGAATATTAAATGCCGGGCTGATGAAACAACATAAATAGATCCAAAGCAATGTGAACGTGATTTTCCACTATAGTATACACGCTGTTTACGATCTGAGCAGAAATGCAGTTATAAGGTGTATATGATTATTTTTCAAAACGGCTTTATGTAAATTAGTATAATGTTCTGGAGAACTCTAACAGATCTGCTCTACTACGCATAGAATTAGGTACACACACGGTCTGTTGATACATTTTGCAAAATCTAAATACGATGAAAAATGAATGAAAAATTTGCAAATGTGCACAAAGTGTTTTGATTTTTTGTTGTTGTAATTGATTTTCGTATAAAACATCGATTAATGGAAATAGTATTCGTAAAAAGAAACTTAACATTTGCAACCCTTGACGAACCGCATGTATATTTCGACGCGCAAGAGGTTGAGAAGGATCCATGTTATGTTGGGCAAGCGAGAAAAAGAGAAGTGATGATGCAAGATGAACGAGTGTGTTGAAGTTTGTTATTCTGTAATTTTCAACAAAACTAAACTAGTTAAAACACAGACGTTTGTGTAACAAAAAGGCATATCTGACGTCCAATATATATCTAAAATGTCTAATATTTAAAAATATTTGTTTAAAGATCATTACAATAGTCATATATGTCATCTGACGTCCAGATACATTTATCATTTCTGAATATTCACTAAATGGTGTCTACGATGAGTATATCAAAAACAAAATGTACCTATTTGAAAGTTTCACCTCTCGAAATAGAAATTATTACGGGTTTATATGATCGAGGTTATATGCAAACAAGAGAAATTCCAGAACAAATATTGACAACAGATTATGGACAGATTACAGCATATTATAAGCCATTAGCAGAAGCGAGTCGATTTAAAAGAGTTAATGACGTTTTAAAACAGACTGCTCAGCGGTATGTTTATAATTTAAATAATTTTTTCTTCTAACTAGTTCCTTTTCTAATTCAGTGTTAGTAATCGATATCAGACTAGGTAGTCAGTCACTATTGGATTGTGTTATCTGTCGTTAACAAAGCCGGATCCAGTTAGCCGGGTTACTAGTGTTGTTTTCTCAAATTTGCTGCTTGTAGAGAAGCTTATTTATAGATCACATATGAATATGAATTAAGAACAACACGTTGAAGAGAAAAAATGATGAAGGCAGTTCGAACAACATTAAATAATTTATTTAAGCTGAAAATTTTCATAATAGAAATCGAGAATAAACTCACCTTTTTCATGTTGAAATAACTATTTCAAAACTGGTATACTTGTTCAATTTTTGCGTGTTCGTCTTCACTCGTTTAGACACGTTTTTCAGATAGCTCCAAAATCGACAACAGCTGTATTTTCATAACGAATCCACGTTCAGAGCCGAGACACTTTTCATTTTGTAGAGAAATGTGTAATCTGTTTAATGATCTAACTGCAGTTTTAGTTTATTTTCTGACTTTATTGCCATAGTTATTTGAAAAAGAGCGAAAAAAACAATTTTTTGAAAAAGAAATTTTTCAGCTTAAATAAATTATTTAATGTTGTTCGAACTGCCTTATGACTCGATTTTTGCAGCAACGACTTTTCTCAAAATGTTTTGCAAGAATAGCCGGATTAGGATATAAACATTTTACCCTGGATTAGGGAACAACATTATAGCCTCTTTATGCTTTTGTAATGCGTTCAATTTATCTTGTTTCGTGTGCGAGTCTTCATCAACAACGTTCCGACTTTTAGTCTGCTTAAGGTGGTAGTCCCCTCCTCGGTTATTTGCAGTCTGGTAAGGATTGGCATCAATTGTCGAAAACACGTACGCCCATACAAATACCACCAACGATAACATGTAAACTATTTGCTTTGCCATCTCTGTTTGTATAAGTCGATTCGAAGGATGAGAAGTGCGTTCTCTTTACGAAAGCTGAGTATTTATACTCTTTCTTTTTCATGATTATACGACACGCGTGCCAAATCAAAAGAAAATAAATGAGAATGCATGTTGAATAGATGTCGAATCAATTTTGCATTTCATCACATTGTACTTAGAAGGATAATAATAAAAGATGGATTGTGATGGTTCTACAAGTTTTCAGAAGCAGAAGAGAAATGAACAAAAATAAGCACTAGACTGACTCTTCTGTAATGCATTCGAGAAACTTTTCCAACAAATTTTCGTTGGGTTAGACGAAACCAAGGTTTGCCTAGAGCATCCAACAGTGACTGACTACCTAGTCTGATATCGATAACAGTGATAGAAAACCTAGATTATCGACTATGCTAAACCCTATCGCAAAGTTTATTCCAAAATCAACTTTAACGTTTTCAGAAACTCTATCGTCATGGTGCAGTGAATTCAGTTCGGGCGTGATCGAGTTTTCATTTACCAAGAGAGCAAAGCTTTAATTTACATTGTGTGCTCGAATGCCAGAATTGTTAACGTCAAGGGCACACGCAAGGCTACTGCCTTACTGACACGTTTCATCAATGAGAAGAAATAGCTTTGTAAACTTATTTCGAAACTTATTTTATCTAGGGGTGATTTTGGGGTATTTTTTAAAAATTTCTGGGGGTGGTTTTAAGATATTTTTTGAAGGTTTCTTTCGGATTAGCATTTGGGTAAGATTTTCGGTTAGACGATTAGCAAAAATAGGGTGAATATCGGTGAGGGGAGCGTTTTCGAATGTCTCGGTCCACATCTGGTACAATTTGGGGCCAAAGCGTGAGATTGAAGGAACGTATGAAAAATGGATGAGAAAGTCTTTTTGTGGATTAATTTGTTTGCGTGGTTGTCGATGACTCGTCCAGTTTAGGTCTCTAACGTTGGTTCGGCAGTATTCGTATTTGCTTTGATTCTCGAAAAAAGAGTCAAGGTTGCGTAAGCGGATGTCTTTAGCAAAGCGGTCGAAATGAGCATCTATAAACTTGGACGGGTAGCCATTGAGTAAGAGTCTAACCCGAATATTGAATATTTCTGTTTTACAATCTTCAGAATGAGAACAGATGCGTAGCGCTCGGAGAATTGCAGCATAGGGTATATTTTGTTTTATATGGATAGGGTGTGAGGAGTCGAAAGGTAAGATGTATGGTTGGGCAGCGGGCTTTCGGAAAACGATCGTGCGGAAACGGTTATTCGGGGGATCTTTAAGAACTGTCACGTCCAAAT